TGTGTGTGTGTGTAAGAGGGTCTTGCTAATGTAGTCCTGGCTGGTCTAGTACTTGCTACATTATTCAAGATTACTTCTCCCTCTCAGCAATCCTGCCTGTCCCCCATCCTGCCAGAAGGACAGGTTTATATCAACCGTACCTGGCTCTAAACACACACTTAAGACTTCTGAAGACACCACAGATGCCACTGGAATTACAATTCTTTTTTTTTTTTTTTTTTAATTTGGTTTTTTTCGAGACAGGGTTTTTCTGTGTAGCTTTGAGCCTTTCCTGGAACTCATTCTGTAGCCCAGACTGGATCAACCTGGCTCTGCCTCCCTAGTGCTGAGATTAAAGGCGTGCACCACCACTGCCCGGCCTTGGAATGACAAGTCTTAGAATTTGCATAAAAGTTGAGTTTTTGTTAATTGAACTTTGTTTCATGGGTGAATTTCATGATTTATATTTTATACCACGGTAATTTTACTCATTAAGAAGCCACCTTGCCTTCTTGGAGGTGGGGGGGGGGGTTGGGGGGAGGCTGGGAGGTAGGAAGAGAGGAATCTTTGATTGATGTGTAAAATGAATGAAAATTTTTTTCTTAATAAGAAAAAAGTGAAGCCAACATTCAAAATAAGTTTCCTTCTCTCCCCTTAGTAGGAATGGTAGTAAAGGGACATGCCAGACAAGCATGTTAAAACATGATGGGCATGTGTTTTAGGAAGCTTCTAAAAATATTCAGATCTGTATCTGCCTTCCTACACTGATGCTCTCTGAGATGCGTAGCTGACTGAGGAAGGTCTGTAGCTTCTAAGACACCTGGCAGACCGCAGCAATCTCTGAGGGGCATTTTTGTTTGGGGGTGAGCAGGTTGTAGGGATGCATAGACCAGCCCTTTACACCAAAGAACGACCTGGTCCCCAATGTTAAGATCAGTATTCAAAGCAAATCCCATAGGAACTTAGCAAAGGCTTCTAGGAAACTCCATGCAAACAGTTTCCAAGTTCTCACACCAGCTTCGTCTTTACAATAAGGATGCTCCCAGGATAACGGTCACTGAGGGAACTGCCCTTTTTTTGGTCCTGGCTAGCTTCCTGGTGTGTATGTAAACAAGTGCTTAGGAAATAAGACAAAAACAGGGCCAGTAAGACTCCAGGTAGAACTTACGGACTGCAAATGGCCATGGATGAGAACTGGGTCTTAAAATACCGAGGAGACGTCCTTTTCCCGACCTTGGCTTTGAAGGCAATGTGACAACATGCACTACGCTCCCTTCTTTTATCAAGGAGTAAAAGAAAATGCACAGCCCCTTAACAGATTTCCAACATCAAAATCTCAGTGAAGTAGACCCCGAAATAGCATCAACGAAGTCTGCACATCACCAGAGCTTCCTCATTACCATTTTCCCAGGGCAAGGTCTACAAACAGGAAGAGCTGCTGGTCTAAGTCCCAGCTCTAGGTACATGTGAAAAATCAGTCAAGGAGTCTAAAATGCCGTCTAAAACAACGCCCAAAATAAACACACAACAAGAGTCGGAGCGACTCCAAAGCTGTGAAAGGGGTCCAGGGACCTCAGCATTCGGTACTACAGAATTCCTCCTCTCCACCTGGAGATGGTAAGCACAGTGAAATTCATAAGCCCATGTGGGGAGCAGACGGTGTGGGGGGACAGCTGACTGTTATTGGTCAGACAACACCCATGTCCTCCGTGACAGACACTGTTTTAGGATGTAACCTGTTTCTTAATACTTACTGTTCGTCTAAACATTGCATTGACCTAGTAGGATGACAGTGTGCTCTTGTCTCCACTTTATAATGAGATCACAGGACACAGAATGGTGCATCAGGGCTCACAGGACCACGGGCTCACATCGAAATGAGCGCAGTCCCAGAGAACCTGGGTCAGGGCCTATTTTTAACCACCAGTCTATGATGTTCCCACACACAAGCCTCTATGTGAGAAAGAGGTTCAGAAATAACCAAAGCTTGAAAGAGAGTCAATACCTTCAATCCCGGCTCTCAGGGGAAGGTCTGGTCAATCGTGCACGCTGGGCAGACAGTACCAGAGCTCATATGGGCCTCAAAGTCCCCGAGATGTTCCCACTTCCCACCTGGGTCTCTGTCCAGGTCACTACATACTCAGTATGACCATCTTAAAGACGCTCTAGCACTACACCCCAAACTTGCCACTCGGATGGCTACTATTTTTAGTTACTTCTAAATTTAGATCACAGCTGGAGTAGAGGCTACCCATTGTCCAGCGTCTCTGTGCTAACTGCCAGCCATCTGCTGAGTCCCTGTTATCTCTGCCTGGCTATGGGGCAGGCTCACGGGCTACCCATCCTGTTTCCTCGCTCTTCATCCTGTTTCCTCGCTCTTCCCTTTCATCTTCTGCTGTTAAATGAGGAACAGGAAGTGGAAGGCAGAGACCCAGGTGGGGACCATGAGCTTCAAGTCACAGCCATTTGGTTAGGGAAAAAACAACAACAACAACAACAAAGGAAAGAATAAATCTCCTACAGAAGACTCCAGGGTCGCGGTTTTACTGTTTTAGATAAGGCTGCGTTCAGTGGTTTTGGCACAGGGACTCCGCAGGTGCCTGGTCTATGCGAGGTGACAGGAAAGCCCGGGCTTAGCAGACTCCATTGTATCAAAGACAGGACAACTACCACATACACGGAATACACCCAGATCCTTCTACAACAGGAACCTACAGACAAGGACACACTAAAAACTATTTCGCCTCGTTTATTATCATCTCAGTATTCAAGAGGCTGAGGCAGCAGAATTCCAATTTGGGCGCCAACTTGGAAACATCTAGTGATTCTAGGCTGACCTGAGCTATAGCGCTAGACCTGGTTTCAAAAACAATTATTTAAAAACACTCAGGGAAATAATTTGTGTATATTCGAAGGGTCTTTTCAGTAAGAAACAGTATCAGTAAATAAGGAAGCAATTTGCAAGCAAGAGTCCATTTTACAGCCGGGCGGTGGTGGCGCACGCCTTTAATCCCAGCACTCGGGAGGCAGAGCCAGGCGGATCTCTGTGAGTTCGAGGCCAGCCTGGGCTACCAAGTGAGCTCCAGGAAAGGCGCAAAGCTACACAGAGAAACCCTGTCTCGAAAAACCAAAAAAAAAAAAAAAAAAAAAAAAAAAGAGTCCATTTTACACAGGGGCATTCTCTCTAGGGGCCCAGAGAGTAACCATTTCTGGCTTGGTGGACCATAACTCCCCATCACAACCGCTTCATCTGCCATTGCAGTGGGAACAAACCCAAAACAAGATGTGCCCAGAAGGATCCAAGTTGTTCAGAATCAGGTGGGGTGATCAGGTTTCAGTTTGTGGATGATAATATGCAAATTCTGAATCTGTATCTGTGAAGGATAGGAATGACCCTGATAGGAAATTAATCCAAACACGATCACACTCCAGCTTCATGTACATGATCACAGAATCCTGCAACAAGCCCATGGCGCACCCAATGTGTTTCACTCTGTCACCCTGCAGGACAGAGGCTGTGGGTTCTTTTGGAGGATCACACATGCCACCTTGTGGCCATCTGAGAGAATAGCCTCCATGGTCCCGATCCCCCTTTTCTTGGCATTCTGGGCTCCCCGAAGCAGCTTTTTAAGAGCAACGACCAGTACAACACAGCCATCCAAGGAAGGCAATAGTAACTAAGTACAATCAATTTTTTGAAGCTTCAACTTGTCAAATTCTTCCAAGAGCCATGAAACAAAACCATGAATGATCGATCACAGGCTTCTCACTGAAGCAGCCAAGCTGCAGATGGTAATTTGACAAGAATGGCAAGCAGCGATACACAAGTGCCTAACAACACAGATACGGAACTAGAAAAAC